GTAGAAGAGCATGTTTGATAACAAGTCATAGTAGAGAGAAATTTTACAATGCTATATAGTATTGGTGCTATAGGTTTTTGTCTTTATGGTATAACTTAAAATTGTACATTTATGTTATGGTACAACTTCATATTGTACCTATACTTTTTGTACAAATTCTTTTATGGTACAACTTGAAATTGTACCTTTATGTGATGGTACAACTTCAAGTTGTAAAGTTGTACCATAACATAATGGTACAAATTGCTTTATGGTACAACATAAACTTATAAATTTAATGTTATGGTACAATTTTAAGTTGTACATTAAAGCACCAATACTATATAACATAGTAGAAGTGCTCGTAGTAAATGGGTATATTATACCTATAACCTTTTAAATATTCTGGACACTTCCTACAAGATAGAGATCCCAGTCATCCCACGTAGAGATCGCTGACGTACCTCCGGTGACTACACCATTCCGTCACCTACATGTTAGTTGTACGCATGCCTGGAAAAGGATGAAATGATTAGTTCAGACGTGGCAGTTTTCTCATATTAAATACTAGTCTGAACGACTGACTTAGAATTTTATGGAGTCAAAGAATATTGGTTAATTTTACGAGTTAATATACAGAGGATTTAAAGTTTAAACCAATTCATTGGAAAATTAAACCATAATCGACCCAACTATTACCAATTCCACAACTAATCAACAAATTCCATTTTTATGATAAATCTAAATGTTTATGAAACCATAATGGACAATAGGTAGTTCGAATCGTAAATATACTGAAGACTAAATCAATAGTCAATTTTTAGTAGTATGAGTTTGTTGAACTGTTGGGATTTTGAATGGTGTGAATGAGAACGAAAAGGAAGAAGCCAGCAGTTGGTGAGTTGTGAGAAGGTGCGGCGTCGAATTCGATGGTATTTTAAATGTGTTGGTAATCAGTTAGATTGAGTTGTGTGACCAACTCGAACCGAGTTGAACCGAATTGGACTGAACAATTGCAGCAATTGGAATTAACCAACCGGTTCAACTACCATGGCAAACCAATGCTATGGTTGGATATTATTTTTAGTGAACCATTATAATTGTTGGGGTGTAACCAACCACCCGAAGAGTCACATCTCTTCACTCACACTCCTTCATTTTTATAAATAACACTAACGTACCACTCTGTTTTCATACGCGAACTTTTGCCAAAATGTTTTTCGGCCAAAAGTAAGAAAATAGTTTTCTTCTTAATTTCATTTTCCTCTCTACAAACACGTAAAATAAAATAGAGTCATGTGATTTCTCGTCGTTCGTTGCGATCATCGGTTTTTGGTGTTTCAAGTATCGGTACGCCAAAAATGTTATGTCCGTTCTATCATGAGAGGAATAGTTGGATAACCTTGGCTACCGTAGAGGGGAACTAAATTTCTTAAGGAGAAATAGTGTATTCTATTGGCTCGGACGGTGTTTATGCATGTTTTGATAAAAAAATTATGCACGAGTCTTGATTTCTTCACTTTAATTTCTACATATGACTTGTGTTGCTAGAAAATTGATATACGTGACATTTCTATAACATAAACGACAATTAAACTACAATTTCAGTACAAAATATTGTACCACTATACAAACTTTAATTGGATTGGATTTCGAAATACTTGATAGGTATAGAGTCCTTGTTAATTAGATCGTGGGAAAGTTGGCAAGCATGTGCAGCCAGCGTTGCACGCGGCGGTTGGTGTGAATCTTTATCTAACCCACCGATCGAGTACCGTGCAAGTATTGTATTAGGTATATTATTATCAATGACCAAGTATTAAATTAGTTGACATTTCGGAGTGGCTGGACTATAATCGGAAACAAATTTACTTGGCTGGCTCGTAAGACGGGGTCATAAGAGAATTTGACATTTATGTTATGGTATAACACTATAATTTGAAGTTGTATCATAACATAAATGTACAACTTTAATTAGTAACATAAAGAGATTTTCCGAAAAAGTTGACAATTTGTACGAGAACATTAAAAATACTAATTCAAGTTGTAGAATAAAGACAAAAATGAAAGCACCTATTCTTTAAAGCATTGTAAAATTCTTTCTTTTTTCAGAAGTCTTTATTTAAAACAAGGAGAGTGGAATTCTGGTGGTTGTTGTTGTTGGTTTATCTAATACAAACATTTTCGGCGTGGCATACACATAGATATAAGATAAACTGATCATTAATTCTCTGTAGCTCGCCTCTATATATACAGGCATAGCGCGGACCGCCAAGCCAAACATATATATCTCCAAATAAACTCCCTTCTGGTTATAACATTCTCTCTCTATTTCACTTCTCTTCTGTCCTGCTGCTGCTGGGCTGGCCTGGCCGCCACCGGGTTCAGGTTCGCCGTACGTACGTTTTATTTCTGACCCGACCGGCCACAACTCTAAAGGTACGTACGCTACCTAGCAAGCTATTGATTATTATCATACAACTAACTACATGCACTGCCACCACGTCGGATTAATTAATTAGTATCTTTTTTTATCAGTAACTAGCTAGCTACAACTACAAGGTTTCGCCAACTATAGACTGTGGTCGCCGAAACATATTAATTAATTGCGGCCCTTTCTTTCTACAATGGTCGTGTGTGTAGTGTATGGTCGTTTAACTAGCAAAATTTAATTAGCCACCCCTAGCTCTTTTAATGGTTGGCTATATGCATGTAATGTAATATCAAATATGTGTGTCTGCCTGCCTACCCACTGAAAAATGGTACAAGGAAGGTCTAAGCGACCATTGCTAATGCTCACCCTGAGCCTGAGGTTTCATTTCTGCATCCTTCCATTCCATAGTCGGCTTAATTTTAAGCGAGCCGTCGCCAATGTAAAGTTTTTTTCTATAAAAATAAAATCTCATGCCCCGCCTTTTTATATAGAAAGGAACTCATCCAACTAAATGTTTCTCAAATGCATGCTATTGCTTGTAACGTCGTCAAGTGCATGCATTTTAACATGGAGGTGGTGGGTGGAATAGATTTAGTCTGTCAAATAAAAGTATAAAACCCTACTCGATCGATCGATCTTTGTTGAACTATTAAACTCATAATTTCATAGATGTTTTAGAACCACGTCTATCCTTTTTCAACAAGATTTATTCATCTTTACTTTTATAAAACAACGTACATTATGATATGGATTTCAAATAATGTTAGTATAAAACATTCAAATAATCATTGCATATTCAAATGTCGATATTGTATCGACAAAATTATGTCTTGATCGATAAACTAGTTAGTTCGGTCAACATAGTAATCAAGATTTTTATCTTAGCTTCAACAAACAATCCCTCACTTTAAATGTTGGCCTTGAATGAAATTCTAACCAAGTTATTGTTTATAATCATTGATTGATTCAATGTTGATAATTACATGCAGGAATAAATATTTAAATAAATTTGTATTAGTGAGTTCTTCATATTATTTTTTCCTTTTTTTGGTCAAAAATCACAATAACATATTCCAACTTATTTAATTTTATAATTAACTAATTTAGAAAATATTTCTCTAAATTAAACACATAAATTATCCATATAAATGGAATTCTTGGGCAAATAATATTCATTTTAAACATAATATGTTTGAGACCATCTCTTAATTATTGTATTTACTCGGTTTTTTCTGTTGCAACAAATATACCAACTCAATCAAATTTGTATGAGCATAACCAAAATTATAAGGTGTTGGATTTTCATCTCGTGGATTTATGTTATCCATTGTAAAAAAAATATAACTAAATACAATTCTTTATCTTTCTTAATCTTTCAAGTTAGGACAATTTAAAAAAAAAACTCATAATATGATATAATTAAAAGGAAGGCAGAAGGTAGCTAAGCACTTACATTATTCAAGGATTTGGTACATGGATTTGGTACCAAAAATCCAACTATCAAGGATTTAGGTACAATCCATTGTTTGCTTGAACCTTTTTTGGAGACCAAATCCGTGGGGCCCACGAATTTTAAGGGTCCAAATCCGTGGACCCCACAGACTTATAAATCCCACATGTTGATGTGGGATTTGGAATATGGTATAAATCCTTGATAACATTTTACCCATATACCCTCATGCACTTTTAATATTCCAAGGTTGCCCTCAAATTTAACTATTATACATTATAATTAACAATAAATGAATAATATAAATGTTCAATTAATGTGCAAACATGAGTTAGATTTTTTATATCATTTCTTGTGTTCTAGTTTTCTTTGACCTTTTCATGGAACGTGTAATTCTTTGTTCTCACGATTCTAATATATGTTGTTATATGTTACTTTCGAAAAGGAGGACAAAGAATTGGTAATTGATTATGTTACGTTAAAAGTTAAAACGGAATTTTCTCGTTATTATTATTGTCCATGTGGCAACATTATGCTTATTAGTATGTATTGTCCTTGTTTTGTGTACATATCATAAACATGTCAAACATATAGAAAATGATAGTAAGGTAATTTTGAAGTTTTGTCCTTGTTTTGTGTACATAACATAAACATGTCAAACATATAGAAAAGGGCAGTAATGTAATTTTTGACTTCAAGTAGTAAATCTCATACCTTTAAATCCATGATAAAAACATCCCAACAAACAAAGGATTGTTACAAATCCATGATGCCTCAAATCCTTGATAAATCCTTGGGTTTTTAAATTACAAAACCCTCGTTTATAAATCCATGAAGCAAACGACCCCTGCAAAAAACTGAGTGCTTTTACCTTTTCCTTTCCTCTCCTCATCCTCACGACCGGACGAAATTGACCTTTGACTTCGTGAACCAAAGTTCATTGAAGATGCGGCGAAGCTGAGAAGGAAACAAGGTCAGACGGAAAAAGGTTTATAAATTGAACAAAGAACGTTGAGACCAGACCAAACCAAACGCGGGCTTAATCAATAAAATTAATTTGCAGAATTGTATTGTATTATTATCGCAGGCCAATTCTGTGGTGTTTGGTTGATCAGATTCCCAGGTCGAACAAAAACAATGGCGCCTTCCATTAATACGATACTAATAGCTATGCTGGCCACTTTCCGCTCGCAGACATCCTTGAAGCCCCTAGGCGGTTTGCTCCTACTTCTCCTCTCCACGAGTACGCCGCCCACAGACCTTTCTCCACCTCTTCCTTAATTTCTTGTCCCTGCCACTTTTGGTACTTTTACATAGGTTTTTTCATTTGCTAACTATCCGTTTGAGCCGATTAAGAATCAAAAGTAGCCGTAATTGTTTCACAACTTGATTGGAACTCGAAAGAGTTACGTACCTCGAAGTTTTGGTAATTGGGTATTGTCCATTCCAGAGGGAATCGGTAAATTTCGGGGTTTGCTTTGCTGGGAAACTTCATTGTGTTTTTACCATGCTTGCTCTCTGCAACTACGGTCCAGCGGCCTGCTTTTCGAGATTAGGACGGAAAACTACTATTAATTTGTTGCCTCCTGTTCATTTCTCAATACCGATTTGCCCTTTCCAGACCCAATTCAGAGAAACCAGCTGTTCTCTTGTCCTGGTTTCTTCTTGAATTGGAAGAAGGGGAGTTTCGAGGAATTCTTTTGATGATTTTTTGCGGAATACTGAAGAAACGGTTTCTGTTTTTTTTTTCCCCAAGGTAGAACTATCACTACCACGAGCAGCAGCGACAAGGAGAGAGTTTCCTCCTCAGTAAGAGTAAAGCACATGTCTTCTTCTTTAAAAAGTGTTGTGGTTCCGACAATCGCAAATGAGGGTCCCCATGTCGATGGAGGAGTGAAGGAAGAGATCGAATTGTTAAATGCATCAGAGGATTGGTATGGTGGAGTGACTGTGGTAGTGAGTGAGCCTATGGAAGTTGCGGATTTCGTGCCACGACTGAGACATTCCATCTCAAAATGGAAGGAACAGGTAAAAATAACAACGGCTTATTATTTTGGGTTTAGAGGCTTCAAGTTCTGCAGAATTTGATGGATGTTCTGGGGTTCTGTATAGGGAAAGAGGGGACTTTGGATGAAGTTGCCGATTAACCAGTCTCATCTGGTGGATCCTGTAGTTAAGGTACTCAAAATCATAACCTGGTTTAAGGGGATGGACTTTTCCTCTTAGGTATTTGATGAACTTGTGTCTGGGATTTGTTGGTTACAGGAAGGGTTTAGGTTTCACCATGCTGAATCAGATTATGTGATGCTCGTGTGTTGGCTTCCTGAAGATGAACCTGATACACTCCCAGTCAATGCCACTCACAGGGTTGGTATTGGGGCACTCGTGCTCAATGAAAACAAAGAGGTAAAGATAGCTCAATGGATGGGTTAAAATGTTTGAAACCGTGTTCCGAAATGCTTGCCAACCCAAGATTTGGTCTCTTGCCCCTGATCAGTTTGCCAATGGTTTGCTGTCATGTTTGGCTTGCTAGGTATTGGTAGTCATGGAGAAGAATGGTGGTTTCAAAGGCACAGGGTATTGGAAGCTGCCAACTGGTGTAGTTGATGAGGTAAGAATCTTGGGGATAATGGTTTCTTTTGAAATTTGGTCTCTTTTTGGGCTGCTGCAAAGTTCCTTGATTTGGTCACATGATGGCTGAAATTTATGTGCTAAAATCTACAGGGTGAAGACATCTCTGCAGCTGCTGCAAGAGAAGTGAAAGAAGAAACGGGAGTAAGTAGATTAGAAAAGTTCTCTCAGCATCTTTCCAATTGCATAAAACTTGCTCTTGTGCTGATCTATATCATCTCTGGGGATTTCAATCTTTTGTCAATCAGATTGACGCTGAGTTTGTCGAAATTTTAGCATTCCGGCAAAGTCACAAGTCGTTCTTCAGCAAATCAGACCTGTTTTTTGTCTGTATGATGAGGCCACTTACTTCGAATATCACTGCCCAGGAATCGGAGATTGCGGCATCTAAGGTGAGTGGTTCTTCCAAAGTACTTTGTTTAAAATGCTTTGAAATTGAGATCATTGTACCATCTCAGGGATTCCATAATATATAAATGCCATTAAGACACAAATTATAACAGAAAACAATCACTTCTTCTCATTCTGTCTAATCTGCTGTTACCAGTCGACGCTTTATGTAACCTACTACACCCAATCCCTTTGAACTAAAGGGCAACCCCGACCCCGGACCCAAGATGTAGCCCATTCTCGATATGGAAATGGTTGGGTTGGGTTGGGTTGGTGCATAAAGTGCTAAATTGGATGGGTATGGTTTGTGATGTGCAAAGTTACTTACCATCCTGATTCATCCGAACCAGGGGCAGATTAGACAGAATGTGTAAGTGAGTGTTTTGTTGTACTTTAATTCAATTTAGTTACCGTTATGCTACAACTTGTACCAGCTCGAGAGCTGATAAGAACACCATTTGACTGGCCTGCCTTTTGCAGTGGATGCCAATCAATGAGTATGTTGAACAGCCCTACAATACGCAGCATGGACAGTTTAGGTATGTTGCGGAGATCTGCAAAGCTAGAGCAGAAGGGGAGTACGTTGGGTTTTCTCCGTTTCCAGTCTCATCCGCTTCTGGCAAGGACGTTTACCTGTACTACAACAAGCAGGAGGGTAGCAGATTGTAGGCACGTCTCTAGCTCTCGTCTCGCTCTGACCAACTCTCACTTACAGCTAGATCATTAAGTTCACCTTAATGTTGGAAATTTGGGTTCAGCGACTCAGCCTTCACCTATATCGTTTATTATCTACTAATACTACCTCCTGTATTGTATATATCATTGCGTAGGAAATATTTGTTGCCAGTTAAGTATATTATTTACCTTCACCTATCCAATCTTAAAGCATTTGTAAGTCGAAGGGGATTCTTTATCTTTTGAGTTGTTCTGCCGGACTGGTTGCTCAAGACCTTTGGTCTCTACCTAGACCCTTGGTATGTAACCAGACTCGATGGCATCGAATAACATTCTTTTGGCTCAAATAGTAAGAAGTTGTGTTTTAGTAACCTACTCGTTTGTTAGAAAATATATTTTATTACCTTTATTAATAATAGCTAAAAATATCATTCGTATACTATTATTTTAATTTCTTGAATGGTCCGAGGATTTGAAGGATTGGAAGAAAGAAATGCATGTTAAATGCACTTATAATGGAGTTCCATTGATATAAATTAAATTAAATTATTTGTCCGTTATATTATATTTCTTTTCTTTGTTCTTCTTGTTTAACTTTAAGCTCGGATCAGTTGTATTATGTTGTGGTCTTGTCGAATTACTAATTAGTAACGGTTGGTCGAAGGAGTGCCTTGAACGCGGTGGTTAGAACTATAGATGACCAAATCGCTCACTTTTGATTTGGTAAATACCAATACGGGTGATAGCAACCATTAGCCGGTTAGTGGTCATCAACCAAAAAATTATTATCAGTAACCGACTCGCTAAGGCTTAGCGGTTAACTGTTGATATGATTGATGGTTATTTTAGCGGTTAACCTATTACGGTCCTACCGGCCGCCAAAGAGAATGGTCGTATGTTAATGGATTTTGAAATGAGGGGATTATTTATCTTTTTAGAGAATGTATAAAAGAAAAGTGGTGGGCGGGATAAACCCTAGCCGCATAATCCCTTTTTCTCTTCACTCTTGTCTTCTCACCTCTCTTTTCTCTCTTAACAAATCGAAAACGAACTTTGTGGACCAACAAGAATAAGAAAACAAAACTATTATTCTCCTTCACTCTCGGACATTTGAACCCTAGCTGAAATCTCTTCTCCTCTCTTCTCGGTTCAAGTAAAACAGAAGAGGAGGGCGAAAACAATAACTACGTCAAGGCTGAGCATCGTTGCTTCTTGCTCTCGATCATCCTCTCGTCGATTTGATGGGGAAGCCACCATAAAGGGTCCTTAGCATGATTACAAGTGATACGTGTTTCGTGGCACAACCTCTTCCACTATCCTCAATTCTTCGTTTGAGCCGAGAAGACGAGGAAAATGGAGTTAGTGAGTGTAGAGCAATTAGGGGGGAATTGTTTACTTAATTGAGTGTGACAATTTACCTATTTTGACTGGTTAACAACCATTATAGGTTATAAATCGGTTAGTCGCTAACCATCAATTATTAATCGTTTATGAATTGGTAACCAGATAAGGGATTTTGAGCTTTCGTTAGACGACCCGCATTCTCCTTAGTGTTTGACGGTTTAACTATTAACCGTCGGTTATCAGTTAAACCGTGAACGAAAAACATTTATCACCCTAAGTACTAAGCGTAACATCATTAGGCCTGACTTGTTTTAATGGATCACTTGCATTTCACATAAAATTAAGATAAACAAAATCAATTCAAAAGTGTCTGATCACTTGAGTCCGTGCAGATTATTGTCAATGGTTAGCACGTTTCAATAACTATCTCATCCTAAGCCAAGTTTAACCTAAGATGACATTATCATAAAGTGGTAATCAATGTCTTATTTTACTCGGGTCCTGGTACCCTAGCCTACTTCCCACCTAGTTGTTAATTAGTTAATCGGTTTTGGAGGTGTGAGTGGAGGATTTGAGGGAATTACTAGTTTAGAGATTGAATAAAGCTAAAAGCAGGTATATCGGGAAACTGTCCCTCACCCTAGCCTAGGGCTACTATGTATATCTATATACTTAGGATTATCGAATGTGGTGAGTGAGCTCGTTTCCGTGGGATTTCGTGGTTATCCACACACCTCCGAGTACGCCTCCCTAGACCCATATAAAGTCACCTTGATCTAGGCTATCGTGTGTGGGAAACTAAGCTCATAGCTCCTTTCAATGGATACTATCCACCTTCCACACCGAGGTTTTATCTCAAGTTCTATATAAGAAGGCTACCTATAACAAGGGTTTGGTCGCCTCGACCACCACATCTACCTCGATTTGCTTTATAGCGCATAACCGCTAACCCTAGAACTCCATACCCCGCGTAGAAGCGTAAGGTAGGCTAATAGAGAAGATTAAGGAGACTTACCCAAACACAATCAAAGATAGAATAGCAATAGAATCAACTATATAAAAACATTCAGTCATTCAAACCCTAAAATATCCATACATACATAGTAAACATTAAAACTCGGGTTTGGGGTTTAGAACCCTAGCACCTTAGAGGACTACTCCATAAAGGAGGGAAGAAGATACATAGAATAAATTGAAGAAGACTTGAGGTTGAGTAAGATACCTCCTCTCTTCTACTTCCTTCAGCTTCTCTCTCTTCTCTCTCTCTAAAAGAAGAAATTCTTCTCTCAAAATCAGCTAATCTAAAAGGGGGAAAGGGGTTTCCTATTTATAAGCAATCAGAGGATAGAAAAGTTCGCAGCCAGAAGGGTAGAGATCGTGGGCGGTATCTTTAGAGAAGAGGCCGTGATCTTGAAACGCAGTCGTAATGACCTTCGGGATGCAGGAGATCGCGGGTTGACTTCGCGGTCTTGATCCGCGAGTCACGATCGCGATCTTCCCCGCAGTCAAAATGAATTGTGGCCATGATTCGACTGGGGAAACTCTCTATTTCTCCTCAGCTTCTTCTTCGCGAAGTTCGCGCCCTGAGCCATCTAATTCGGGACCGTGATCTTGGGCTTCCAGGACTCGATCTTCAGCTTGTCTTTGCGGTCCGGGATCTCGGCCGTGATCTTTACTTCTAGGACAAGATTATCAGTCTTCTGCCCCCTCTACACTTGTGACATTGTTTTGTACCTAATTCGCATATATTGTCTACACTCCCTAAAATCACATCGAATTCAAATAGGAATGGAATAGGGATGCAATTGACGGTGTTTAAGCATTTATGCACATGAATTGGCACAAAACAAACCTCAATATGAAGGGTAAATAACACCAATTTAGGTGTTATCAAACTCTTCCACACTAAGTTGTTTGCTTGTCCCTAAGCAAACCTACTCACACCTATGCAACATGATAGACAAATCAATGGGGAGCTGTGCTCCGGGGATTCGCTAACACAAGTAAGAACAAGAACTCTCGAATGTGCTTTTTATTCTCTCTTGATATTTAGGAGTTTTCGTTTGTTGGTCACCTTTTACGGCGTTGACGCGCATTGCACCAAGCTTTTGCAATTCTTTTTCAAAATAGCATCTCTCCCTCATGACCAAGAGCGGATGAATCATAGACTTCCCTTTCAAGGTCATATGTGGGAAAGTTGATGAGTGGATTCATCTTAGCCCGATCACCACTTCTCAGTCTGCACTCCACATTGGTTTGCCACACATGTTGAGTACAAATGAGAGCTATGAGGTCTCATGAATTGCTGAAAGGTACTTTGGACCTTGACATATGATTTCGTGAGGAGGAAAGATGCATGAGGGATGGTAAGTAGTGAAAGACGGTCGGGATGCGGTAAAGCTATCCGATCCCCATGCATATCCTGAAAGGGGACTCCGAATCCACGGATTGGTTGCCTCTCACGTGAGCCTCATTTTCAAAAGATTTTTCTCTCTTTCTTTCTTTTCTAATGCTTACAAATCTTTTAAAAGCTTCGAGTTCAAAAATCAAACAAATAGAGAATCTCGCACAAATGTTCTTCTTAAAATAACACACATTATTGACTCGCAAAAGAGGAAGAAGATAGTAAAACCCCTCATACACCGGTACTCTAATCATGCAACTATCACCTAGCTAGCATAACACATCAATCATTTAACAAATCAAAGCATATCGAGTAGGGATTGCATAGAACAAGGTGTTTTGGAACCATCAAATTTAAGAAAATTTGAGTATAACATTCAAGGTTCCAAAACACTATCATTTGACTATTGATCACCACAACACAAACACAATAGCTAGCACACGCTCCCGTAAGTACTCATTAACGTCTTACATTCATAAACAAGGGAGGATTCTGCAAATTTATGGCTCAACCAATCATGATATTCATTCACACATTCATACACTCCCCCCCCCCCACCCCACACACACACACTAGAGCAACACATTGTCCTCAATGTGGGAGTTTTATAAGAAAAGATCGTGAAGGTTACCTGATTCGGGCGTACTTATACATGTTTTGCCCCCGTTTTACTTAGGTGTTTGTGGCAAATTCACTCCTAAAAGGTTGGTTTTACGCTAGGTTCCTCGTGTGTCTTAGTGTGTTTCAGGGTTTAACAGGTGAAACCGGCCTCGGAGCCGAAAGTTGGACGAAATGGATCGAAAACCGGGAGAAGAGGTGGAAAAGGGCCAGTTCACAGCTATCCCAGGAAGTTCACGGTCTTGCACGACCGTGAAGAAGGGCCCTTGACCTTGCATCTCGAGGCATCAGAGCCAAAACAGAGGTTATTGACGCAAGGTGAGTTCACGATCACTAAGACCGTGAACGGAAGCTGTTGATCGTGAATAGAAGTGAACGAAGCGGTGTGTTTTGGCGCATGCCTGCAGCTCATGGACGCATTTCATGGCTCACGGACGTGAACTGAGCTCGTCTCTGGTTTAAAAGATGAGCTGAAAGGAGGAGAGAGGGGAGAGCCCATTTTGTGTGAAAAAGCCTTCTTCAGATTTCTAGAGAGAGAAACACGAACCAAGGGAGAAGATGTTACACCCCGCTCTTCCCAAAAGTCAAAATGACTATTATACCCTTGTGTTAAGTTCCACCGTATTAT